GATGAGTTGATCCTTTGTCTCCCGGGCATCCAATCTCGTGAGAAGACGATAGAACGTCTCGGTATATTCGTTAACTGAACGTTGTCCCTGCCTCAGATTTTGGAATTGCATGAAAAGAGTACGCATATAATTGTAAGGGAGGAACTCACGGTCGAGATGTTTACGAAACTTGGCCCAATCAGTGATTTTTTATTTTCCCATACGACGTCTGGACGCCTTAAGTTGCTGCCACCATGCAGCGGCCCGATCGCGAAATCGGGTCGCGACAAGTTCTGCCCTCAAGTTTGCTGGAATCCCTTTGAAGTCGATAGCGGATTCGACCGCGGCCATCCAATCCAGAAAGTCCGTAGCCTCCAAGCCGCCGGTAAATTCTGGAATTTCCACACGAAAAGACGATTTCTAGCGTTTTTCCTCGTTCGGATCATCATCTTCACGGGTTGGATGTCCAAAAGGGTTTATTTCGAAAACGGTGTCTTCGTCGTCACCGCTGCCATCCCACGAAGGAGGAGACCGGTTGCGGTGCGCCTCGCGTTCTCCCCGGCCACAACCCCCGCGTGCCCCTCTAAGCCGTCCGCCGCGGCCTCGGTTCGCCTGAAAGCCGTGAGGGCCGGTATTGACGACCAGTGCAATTTCTTCTATCCTCGCCGAGAGATTAGCCATGAGACAATCGGACGTTTCACTTCGTTGCAGCAGCAAATCGATGGCAGCGTCTCTCCGTTCATCGGCATTGTTTCTCTTTGGAGGCATCTTGGATCGTGACTGGTCTCTGAATACCAACTGACGCAGCGCGTGAACGAAAGGAACGATAAGAGTGAAAACTCGATAAAATTCTTTATTATTCTTCAACTGCCCGTTACCATCAGTTTACACAACATAAATAGACTCCAAACACTACTAAACTCTTAACTTACTTACCAAGTTTTAATACTAAAAGATAGACATCATCCTAACAATAAAAGATAAATAAGGAATATTATGAATAAAAAGACAAATAAAAAATATTAGGAATAAATACTATGCGAATAATTAATAATTTTAACGCCGGGATTCGCGTATTTCTTCAATAAAACTATCATGAGCTCGTCTTAACAATCAGCATGTATAAGCTGCCTTTGATCGTTAATTTATTGTGCATTTAGTGGTTTGTTTCTTTAGACTGCTTCTGATTAGCAGGTCTCTCAGAACAGTAGGCTCAAGGCTGTCCTCGATTTGTATTGGAACTTTGTATTTGGTTCCTGTTTTGTTAATGAGTATTTCTATTAAAAAAAAAAAATAAAAAAAAATAAAAAAAAAAAAAAAAAAAAAAAAAAAAAAAAAACACTAGAGCTTGAACATTATCATATAATATAAACCATCTAGCAACTGAGATCCTAACGCCAAAATCTTTCACGCCTTTCTCAACAAATGCAAATTTACAAGTACATAGCTGCAAAACTTGAAGTAATGGTATCGCACCTTCAACCTTTGATCAAAATAGTTCTCATTTTCGTAACCAACGAGTGTGTTGCTCAGCAAATTCTCAATGCTTTGGAGTGAGGATACTCCAGTTCTTACATAAGCTTATCAACTCAAATTTGCAACTTACAGCATAACTTTTATATGCCTAATCTACTTGAGAGCACTCACTCACATGGATAAAGGTAGTAATAACCGTCTATCTCTTTTTCTGGCAAGTGATTGCCTTGCAACTCGCAGACGAATTGGGACAAGGATGCCAATGCACATGACAGCTAAAGAAATCCAGTAGTGTTTTAAGTAGAGGATAACATACGATGAACTCAGAAGCAGAATAAAGCTCAACGCCCAGAATATAGCAACGGCAACATCAGTCCTGTACGAAATTGGAGGGGGAAAATTAAGGTGAAAAGGAACTGATAAGAATAAATACTGAGGAGATGCTGGAGAAAAGGAAATACCAATTAAGGGAGAATGTTAACGGAGTAACATGTAAATTAGAACACTTGGTAAAAGAAATTAAGAATTCAATAGGGTGACTGAGCCAATGAGATATGCATCGGCAAAGGTGATTATGTATGCTAAGAACTGAGCAATGCAAACACACAGAGAGAGTGATGAATTTTCCCCAATTTACTAACTAACTCTAACAAAAGCTAGTTCGAGCAGAATTACTCATTGCTTCAGAAACAGCCCCATGGAAAGCTTACAAGAATCGGGCATTGCTGTTTTCAGAAATTAGTCATATAAGGAAAATGAATGCAGTCCAGACTCCCGATTCAAGTCTTATGCCAGCCAACTAATTAGTTTTAAGCTGCTTTAAGCACTTGTACATCTGTAGGTATTCATTCGATTCAGTTCCTAAATCCAAATAAAATACAAGAGTATCTGGCAAAACTAACTTTAAACAATAATTGCATCAATTGAAAATTGACAGGAAACCAGCACTAACATATAGAATTAGCTCATAATTCTTTCTTTAATTGCGTATAGATAATGACTAATGAAACATGCACTGGATTTGCAAAAGAATAAGACAAAAGGTTTGTATTCATCTTCCATCTTTTTGTCTAACATATTCTTCACAAATTCCATGGTTGAAAATATATGAGCACTGTTATTCCAGTCTGTTGAAGAAGAAATGTAATTTAGATATTTATCATTTCAAACGGTTCAAATAGCTCTGAAAACTTCCACCGAGTCAGTATTTCCAATATGATCTTCTTTTGTTTACTGGAGTTAGTGCCAAAATTCATTTCTATTCAATGTTTCAACTTGTGTCCTGACCAAAGAGTCCCAAGCTCCACACTCTTTTTTGTTAAATCTGCTACCCAACAATTTCCATCAAGTACTAATCGAAGCGCCAAAACATCCGATAATGATGTAAAACTCTAATAAGGAACAGAATAACTTCAAGTAGGCATTACTTCGGCTGGCAAACCATACAATAATGCTTCTATAGAAACTTATAGAAAGAAACATCTAACTATCAACACCTATATGCGTAGATATTATGTTGTATAAACTTAGTTTCAGCAGTGAAGCCAAAAATAGGTGCTCTAGAGTCTAGCTCGAACTCCAACCTGAAAAGAGACAACTGTACATAGACCTGATAAGGGGAAAATGTTTCAGCCTTGAGAAGAAAAAAACTATATTCACGAACTAGGTGAGTTGGAACATAGCTATATTGTACAAATGCAGGATCTGTTTAGTAATTAAGAAAGAAGGCCCCTCTTAAATTGCAACGCGAATCGAGCACTCATTTTTGGAACATCTATTAAATAGTTTATTATTCATACATGTTTCTGGTCAGAGGCATCTTCTTTCTTACAACGCAATTTTCTAGGACTCATGTCTATTATGAGCCGACTTGTCAGAGCACACTTAGTGATGATTATTCATTCAGATGTTGCAGCAGCTCATGAAATAATGGGAGCACATAACTTGAAGATGCCATTATCATGAACCATCCTAAGGACCTCATCACTCTACCTTTTGGATGGTGCCACAAAAATATCGTGCAAAGAGCCAAAGACATTTCCCAAAGACCATTAAGTACCTAATCTCCTAGGCAGTAGCTGCTAGGCCCAATTTCCAATAATTATGACTACCGTACATGGCAGATTCTGTTGCCTATAGATGAAATCTCTGCAATTCAATGCGAAGCCAGGCCCATTTCAATTACACGAAACAAAATTATGCTTCTGTCCATTACACAAATGAAAAAAAAAA